TTTATTGTTCTTGTGCATTATCTAACACATTATCTTTCTTGTGTTAGTAGGACTAAAGAGTTTGCATACTTCTTCCTTCTTTGCATTCTCGTTCTCTTGGAGTCTAACCCTTGTTTGGACTCTTTGAACTTTTAAGTTTTTTCTTATCGCCTTTGCTAGTAATCAAACTCCGATACGAACTGTGGACGACTACTTGGTAAAGTGAGTTTTAAAGAGTACAAGATCGACTTACTTGCCTCTCGTTGTGTTACTTTCTTGGAGTGACTTGTGAGGTTTCTTACTTTGTTGAATTTTCTTCCTTTTATTTTTAGTTTACTTTAAAATTTTCTTTTGAGTGTTATGATTTCAAGATGGGCGAAAATAACAACAAGACACTTACGGCTATCTTAGCCACACTTACCCGACTCACGACTCAAGTTGAAAGATTTGATAAAATCGTGAGAGAACGAAAAAAACCATAACTGGATCTACCAAACCAGAATCCAAGACCAAACAATGCTAAACTGTTGGTACCCGGGGTGAGAACAACCACGTTTTCAAGCACCCAAACTCTTTGCAAAACCAAAGTTCACGATCCCGTCTTTTAAAGGAGACAATGATCCAGACAAGTACATCGAATGGGAGGGAAAAGTTGATCTCATGTTTGCATACCATGACTGCCCCCAAGCTAAACAAGTTCACCTCATCACCACACAATTCGAAGGATATGCTCGAACTTGGTGGATGCAAACAAGGAAAAAGATCCAGAACTTCCAAATTCCAACAATCACTTCTTGGACCGACCTCAAACAAACCATGAGGAAGCGATTCCTACCTACACATTATACACGAGAAGTTAAACTACGACTAGACCAAATTCGACAAGGTAGAAGTTCAGTTGAAGAGTACTATAAGGAGATTCAGTCCTTACTCAATAGGGCTAACATAACCGAAAAAGAAGAGGTCACCGTGTCAAGATTCATCGTCGGTTTAAACTCAAACATCATTGATCTTCTTGATCTACAAGGGTACGAAAACCTTGAAGACGCACTAAAGAAAGCAATGACAATTGAAGCAAAAATCCAAAGGAGATCTCGATTCAGTGAACATTACCAAGGTACTTCATCCTCTTACCAAGGTAATCCTTCAAATCCTTCCTAATCTTCTACTCCATCTTCGCTAAAAAATCCAAGAGATGACAAATCTGAAAAGGGGAAAGAACGACCAGCAAAGAATAACAAACTTCCAGTCCCTAAAGATCAAATTATAATTTGTGAGGAGGTACGGAAAGCAAAAAAAGAAAAAGTTGAGAAAGAGGCAAAAGAAAAAGAGGTCACTAGTTATAAAAGCCAAAAGAATAATGACCCATGGGAGGTGAGTGAACCTAAATGTGAGAAGAAAAGAGTGACTCAAAATCTATGTGTGAGCACAAAAGAATTGAGAGAGAACCTTCTTTACAAACAGCCTTGCATCCTTGTTCGCTTTAGGGAATCAATTGTTTTGATTTCTAACATTAACAAGGATTTGCCTAGTGTTTTTTCATCTCTTTTACAGGATTTTCGAGAAGTGTTAGGTGATCTACCTAACGAACTACCACTGAAAAGAGGAAAACAATGCCAAACCAATCTAATTCAAGGTTCCATCATACCTCGTCAAACATACAATCTCGAAGAAACCAAAGAGTTGGATTTGTTACAAAAAGGCTACATCCAGGAAAGCCTTAGTCGTGACGCCATCTTAATGACGAAACATGATTTGAACAACTCTACATGCTTTATAGTTCGTGCACAGGAAATCCATGTAAATGATGAAATAGTAAAAGCAACATGAGACTAGCCCACACCATCTTCCATAGCCAAGAGTTGTTAAATAATATTAGGTGACCCTCCTGACGGGTTACCACCTGAAAGCCCTAATCACAATGCCATATCAATGAAGAGTCGCGATTTACGGGAATCCAAAGGTAAGTATTTTATTACTCATTTTAATGACATTGTAACATACTTCTTCTCCTTCTTACAAGGTAAGGCTCGTGAAGTTGTCATCCATACTAAATACAACTCCTTTAAGTTCGTAGCTGACCGAGGTAAGCAACACACATTAGACGATGCACTACCACGAAGGTATACTCTTAAGCATGCTACTATTCCAAGAATTGAACATATAAAAGATGTATATCACGATAACTCGGATATTTCTGATATTTCTACATACTTTTAAAAGTAATTTTAATGAGTTTTATCTTGTATATGAGTTTCCTTGCCAACTAAACAGGTTCTACAATCCACAAATCTCCTGTCGAGAATTATTAATTCATGAACCACACTTAGGAGACTTAAGGAATTACTTTAACAAACCAGTTGACATGGTTTTTAAACACTCATTCTCACCACACACGAATAAAACCATGGAGAAATTATCTGAAGAAATCATACAGAAAGCAAACAGTGGTCGACACCATGTTGAATTTCAACCTAAACATCAGATTACAAGACTTATATGCAAAAGAGGATTTCAAGACAACAAGAAATCAGTTCCTACAAAGAAGAAACCTCGACTGAAACACATAAAGACACGTCACATTGATCTTGGTAAATTTTTCACAAGTTTTCTTTTCAACTCATCTAAGTCTCTTTCTCTTAGATTTTTAGATTCGAGGACAATTCCTTTTGAGGAGTGGGGGAATGATACATGCACCAGAGTCCATAATGCATGCTTCTTTGGACTAATGTTTCTACTCAAACCTATTATAAGAACAAAGTCTCGAAGATTCAAATCATATCTATTCGGTAAGTATAATGTGAATGAATCATTAAACGATTCTAATGTTGCTCCCTTTGATGTTTCAGATTCGAGGTCGAATCTTTTTGAAGAAAGGGAGGATGATACATGCATCACAAGGCTCATATCAAAGGAACAAGTAATAACTATTACAAATGATCCACTCGTCCGAACATTGGAAAAGAAGATCAGAACAGAAGCAGACTTACGACAACTTTTGAATGGGATCCTGATCTTATTTAGTCAAGATGTCTTCTGTAGATACGACCGTCTGTCTCTTATCTTTCCAACGGTTCTTTAATCTCATCAATCCGCCACCACTTCCCTATCAGTTTGTCTCCTAAACCAGGTATGGGGTGTTATATTTGTTGGTATCAGAGTCAGGTTTGATACGATTGATGATGTTATGTGATTGTATGTCAGGGTAGAAAATAAGAAAGACATTACCACACTATTTTGAAATGTTTTTGCAGGTCTTGCCTTGATCACTGGTGCGATTCTCACATTGTTTTTTTGATTTGTGTAGTGATTAGTCTAATTACAGTGGCGTCGCATCATGTTATTTTGGGTGCTTCTAGGTCTGGTTGTCCTACCACCAGGGCTAATGCGACCGAGTTTGAAAGTGGTGTTAGTAGACCCCCGCCAGTAGCTCCATAATCAAATCCTCATGTGTATATTTTGACTAAGGCGATTCTTGGTACCTTACGCAAAGTCGTAGCTGAAGTGGTACCCACTTCTGTGCCAGTTCCAGTGGGTAGAGGTTTACCTCTAGAGTGCATGAGCGCTTTAGGGGCCAAAAAGTTTAGTGGGGTTCACTGGACTAAAACGACTGTTGCGGAGGATTGGCTTGAGAATGTTGTGTAGATTTTGGATTAGATGAACTGTACATACGTTGAGAGGTTAGAATGTATCACGTCTTTACTTCAAGGTGATGCACATCTTTGGTGGACTACGATTAGGAGGGGAATTGCTGAGGATAGGTTGACCTGTTCGTATTTTCTAAAAGTGTTCAAGCATAAATTTTTGGGTGAGTAGTACACCGACGCAAGGAATAAGGAGTTTCTTAACTTGGTTCAGGGACGCTTGTCGTTGTCTGAGTATAAGGTTGAGCATGTCCAATTGATCGAATATGCTCGGGAGATTATACCGACAGAGTTTGAGAGGTGCAAGAGGTTTAAAGATGGTCTAAAAAGAGAGATTCATTCATGTTTGGTAATTGGATCTTCAGAGATAATCGATATTTTGGTGGATTAAGTGAAGGATGTCGAGAGTATTGTGGGTTGTCTAGTTAGGACATTCTCTGAAAAGAAATCCAAGAATGCTAGTTTTCATAGTCATTAGACAAAGAGAGGTAGAGGACTTGATTAGTGTAACTCTCGTCAGGGTCAATTTGGTAGGGTGACTACTTCGTCTAGTGGTTAGCAATAGCCTTTGCTTTGTTCATTTTGCGGTAAGAGGCATCCAATTAAGTGTTGGCACACTTTTGGGGGTTATTTCCAAGGTGGTTACAAGGGTCATCAGTTGAGAGATTGTCCATATAGGGTTGAGTTGAGAAATAGTCCAAATAGGGCTGAGTTGAGAGATGATGCACCTATTTATGCCAGAGGAGGTGGGCAAGTTAATAATGGAGGTCTGGTGGGTCAGGCTCGGGTAGAGGTCGTGGTCGTGCCAGTGCAGTTGAGACTGGTGGACCTGGCAGAGTGTATGCGATTCGTGAGCCTCAAGATTATGTCTCGACGGATGTGATCACATGTAATTTTCTATTAAAGTCTTTTCTCTTGCTTGCCTTGATAGATTTTGATTCTACTCATTCTTATATCCTTAGTTATTTGGCGAGTCGCTTGAGTGTTCCTATTAGTGTTAAGAATGTGGGTTTGGTAGTAACTGAGGCTTTAGGAGAGAGTACACTTTTGGATCGAGTGTATTGTATATGTCCTTTGGTTATTCAAGGCGAGATATTTCCAACAGATCTAATGGAGTTACCATTCCATGGTTTGAATGTCATTTTGGGTACGAACTGGCTTCACGAGCATAATGTGCATTTGGATTTCAAGTTGTCTTGGGCGATTCTGAAGATGATGGATGGTTTCGATTTGGTAGTTGCGAGTGAGAAGCCAAAGTTTATTTTTAATGTTATACCAGCGTTGGGTGCGAGTAAAATGATGGATTATGGATATGAGGCATACTTGGCTTATGCTCTTATTTTAGGTGGCCGGGAGTTACGTGGGTAGGATATACGGATGATTCAAGACTTTCCTGACGTGTTTCTAGAAGAGCTTTTGGGTTTACTGCAGGATCGTGAGGTTATGTTTCGTATAGAGGCTTATAATGATTCAGCTCCCGTGTCTATTGCGCCTTATCACATGGAACCTAAGGAGTTGAAAGAGTTGTAGGTGCAGTTGCAACAGTTGTTGGATCTAGGTTTCATCTGTCTGAGTATTTCTCCGTGGAGTGCTCTAGTTTTATTCGTGAAGAAGAAGGATGGTACGATGCGTATATGCATCGATTATTGTCAATTGAACAAGTTGACGATCAATTCCCTTATCTAGAATCGATGACTTGTTTGATCAATTCAAGGGTGCTAAGGTGTTTTCGAAGATTGATTTACGTTCGGGGTATTATTAGTTAAAGGTTAGTGAGATGGATATGATGAAGATAACTTTTCATACACGTTATGGTCATTATGAGTTTCTGGTGATATCGTTCTGCTGTTTTTATGGACCTGATGAACCATATGTTTCACTCGTATCTCGATCACTTTGTGGTGGTGTTCATCGACGATATTTTATTTATTCAGCTTCAAATGAGGATGACCATGATTTTCATATCAGGATTGTTTAGCAAGTATTGAGGGAGAAAAAGTTGTATGCGAAGTTTTCTAAGTGCAAGTTTTGGTTTTGTAAGGTGGCATTCCTTGGTCACATTGTTTTAGCTGAGGGTATTTGGGTTGATCCGAATAAGATTAAGGTGATAGTTGAGTGGAAATCGTATAAAGTGTTACTGAGGTTCGCAATTTCCTTGGGTTAACTAGTTATTATCGATGGTTTGTCTAGGGTTTCTAGCGTAAATCTGCTCATTTGACCAAGTTGTTGCAAAAGGATGTTAAGTCTGAGTGGACGAATGAGAGGCAAAGTAGCTTTGTGAGGTTAAAGTTAGCTCTGACAGAGGCTCCAATGTTGGTTCAACCAATGTCTAAGAAAGATTTTATGGTGTATAGTGATGCGTTTATTACCGGTCTTGGGTGTGTATTGATGCAAGACGATAGTGTGGTAGCTTATGTGTCAAGGCAAATGAAGTCGCATTAACGTAACTATCCCACACATGATTTGGAGTTGGTCGCGGTAGTGTTTACGCTTAAGATTTGACATCACTACTTGTTTGGTGAGAGATGTATCATTTACACCGATCACAAAAGTCTTAAATACCTCCTTACCCAGAAGGAGTTAAATTTGAGGCAGAGGCGTTGGGTTGAATTGTTGAAAGATTATGATAGTGTGATTGAGTATTATTCAGGTAAGGCGAACATGGTTGTTGATGCTCTGAGTCATAACTCAATAGGGGAGTTGCAGGCTTTGTTTTCACGTTTGAGTTTGGGTGGAGATAGAGTGTTAGTGGCTCAATTTCAAATCAAGTCTACATGGTCCCAATGTATTCGTGATTTGCATTCGAGTGACAAGAAGTTGGAAGTGAAATTCCAACTGGTGCGTGATAGTTCTAGTGGTGATTTTTTATTGAATTTTAAGAATGTTTTGTTCTTCCGAGGTAGATTATGTGTGCCAAGGGATGAGAGTTTGAGGCGTGATATTCTCTTAGAGGCACATAGTGTGCCGTTTGTGATGCATCCGATTAGTATGAAGATGTATCGAGATTTACAAGAGTTGTATTGGTGGCCGAGTCTGAATCATGTTGTTGCTGAGTTTGTTGGGCAATGTTTAGTTTGTCATCATGTTAAAGCTGAGAATCAGTGTCCTTCGAGTTTGCTGCAACATATTAGTATTCCTTAATAGAAGTGGGAACATATCACGATGGATTTTTTACAGGTTTGCCTTTGACACTATTGAAGAATGATTCAATTTAGGTGATTATTGATCGATTTTCTTATAGTGCACATTTTTTATCGGTGTATGCGACGTTTTCATTGCAGAGGTTACATGATTTGTATATAGCTAAGGTAGTACAGTTGTATGGTGTTCTTTTATCGATCATTTCAGATATGAGCTTCAGTTTACTTTGAGGTTTTGGAAGAGTTTGTATAAGGATTTGGGTTTGAGGCTTAGTTTGAGTACAACTTATCATCCGTAGACTGATGGTCAGTCGGAGTGTGTGATTCAGATTTTGGAAGAATGCTTCGGGCATGTGTGATCAATTTTTTTTTCTTGGGAGCATCATTTGTCATTGGTGGGGTTTGCTTACAATAATAGTTATTAGGCTAGTATTTAGATGGCTCCATTTGAAGCGTTGTATGGGCATAATTGTCATACTCCTTTGTATTGGATCAAGTTGAGTGAAAGGCGTGTTGTTGGCCCAAATTTAAATCAAGAGGTTGAGGAGAAGGTTAAATTGATTAAGGATATGTTGAAATCATCTTTTGATAGGTAAAAGTCTTATGCTAATTTGAAACGATGAGAGATAGAGTACGCTGTGGGCGATTTTGTGCTTCTTAGGGTTTTCACCTTGAAAAAAGGTGTTGAATTTTGGACGTAAGGGTAAGCTTAATTGGAGGTTTATAGGACTGTTCAAGGTGCTAGAATGTGTTGGTTCGCTTGTGTATCGTCTTAGGTTGCCGTTTGATCTCGAGCCTATTCACGATGTGTTTTATGTGCCGATGTTGCGTAGATATAGGTGGGACCCTTTTCATGTTGTTTTGATAAACGAGGTTGAGGTTCAAGAGGATATTTCTTATGAAGAAGAGCTGGTTAAGATCTTGGCTAGTGATGTGAAGGTTCTTCGAAACAATTCCATTTCGCTGGTGAAAGTGTTGTGGCGTAACCACAATATTGAGGAAGTGACTTGGGAGATAGAAGAGTCGATGAGAGCCCCGTCAATGTAATTTTTTAGTTGAGGTAATTTTGAGGACAAAATTCTTTTTAGGGGGAGAGAATTGTCACGTTCCAAAGTCCAAGTCGGTAATTTGGGTCGGTTTCTGGATTTTTGATAAATGAAAATAATATTTAAAAAATTAAATTTTGATTTGGAAAATATTTGTGAAGGGTTTTGAAAGATTTTTTGTTTTTGAATTTTATTTTGGAATTTAATTTGGATTTTTTAATTAAATTGAATTATTTGGAAATTATTATTTTAGTGACTATTTTGCAAATTATAACAAATCCAACGTCTATGAAGCTTATTTTACCAAGCCTTGTTTTTAGAGTTTTCCCTTAAACTAACCGTATTTTAATCTTTCATTTTTACCAAAATTCTATCTAGATTCATTTTTTAATCTAAATTCATTTTTCATCTCTTGATTTTCATTTCACGTAACTTTCATTTTCTTTCTTCCAACTATTTGGTAAATTCTCCCAAATTCTCTCAAATGATGAACCTTCCTCATTCTTTTCTTCTCTTTTTTGGTTTATAAATTTCATCTCTTTTTTGGTTTATAAATTTCATCTCCTTTAGCTTGATTTTAATCAAAATTGATTTTCTTTTCTTATTCCTTTGTCAATTTATTCTTGGAGAGCCATTGTTATTTTATTATTCCCTTTTCAATCATTTTACAACAAGGTAATGTTTCTTTCCTTGGGTTTCTTTCATGCTTCAAGGGAAAGTGATTTGATGTTAATGATTCATTTGATTCAATCTGTTGAAAAGGATTTTGTGAGTTGAAATTGATTTTCAGAGTTAATTATTGAGCTAATTTTCTTGAGGTGTTTCTGAGATTTTCTTGATGAAATTGAGATGTTTTTGGGATGATTATTATCATATTAAAACAATTTTTAATGCTTTTGATTTGGATATCGATTTCTTGAAAACAAACTTGATTTTATCCTTTTTTAGGAATCCGGGAATTAAGAGTTGTAGAGGTTCAATAGTGCAATTTTAGTTGGATTGGATGTTAACTTCAGTTGTTTTCATCTGCTTTTGATGAGGATAAGTGATGCAAATCGAATCGGAAGTTTCAATGAATCGTTTCGTTAAGACTTTCGGTAATTTTGACATTTTCGATCTATTTTAGAAACACAAATTCTGCTCTATTTTAGCATTAGTTTTGATGTGTTATTATTCTTTTCAAAGTGTTTGATGTGTTAGATATTTATGAGAGGTTGTGCTTTATGTTTTAGTAACCGTTTGGTTCGCGTTTGGAAGCGTTTTCGGTTACCGGATAACAAGGTGAGTGTCTTTCATTCTTTGAGAATGTATGTGTTCGAGGTTAGGGAAAGTGTAGATTGATTCAATACTCATTTTAATTCTGATTGTGTGATTCAACTATAATGTTAATGACAATGTGGATTGAATTACATTATGTGTGATGCAATATGTATCGGAAATGTGAATGTGAAATGTGAATATGTTGTGAATGATGCATAGGATTTTGAAAATATTTTTCGAAAATCTATATATAATGTGACTATGTGATTGGAAAAGTAAAATGTTATCGCTTTCCATAATGTGGGTTGATCATAACAACCAATTGTGATTGTGTTTCAAAATGAGTTTGAATCAATATATGTGAAAACTATGCATCATTGACAACCACTCTTGATGAATTTAGATTAATCAAATGTTTTTCCTTGAAGAGACTTTTGGATATGAAAGGCAAGCCTAGGAAAGAGTACTCTATGTGCTTTATATATGTGTGTGATCGAGTTATACAGGGTTCGATTAGAACGTTGAGCTATGCTTCGAGAAGACATGGGGTAAGGTTGGGCGTTAAGATTTTCTCTCTAATTTTGTGGTTTTGTACCTATGTAGGTTCATAAATAAAATGGGAGTCATATGGAGTCCGTTTATCCAATGAGTTATTTGTGTTTCAAACAAAGGCCATTGATCTTTAAATGGAAAAAATATGTGTACATTGTGTGTTACTTGCCAAAGAATGTAATTGTGCGTGAGTGAATATGGTTGATGTGGATTGTATGGAAAAATGATACATGAATATTCTATAATTTGCGTGCATTATTGAGTGATAAATGATCATTCGAGCATGACATAACTTTGCCAATGTTGAGGTAAAAACAAATGAGGTGTGTGCATACAGGACTTTACTTCATTTTGGATATGTGCATTGTCTTAGAATGATTGTTATTCACTGGGCATTTCAGCTCACACTCTTTTTTTTTTTTACATTTTTCAGAGGATTAGAATCGATTCGGTGGCAAGGAGCTAGTATCAGAAGTGATCAAGCAAGGAAAAGGCTCAAGTGAAGTGTATTGGTTTGAAATGGTGACAATGTGGGAGACGTTTCGGGAATTAGGCATTTTTTGTTATGTTGATTTGTAATAACTACACTTGTGTTGTGGATGGTTTATTTTTTGTTTGGAGACTTGCCAATGATTTGATTCGTTATTTTAGAGATTGGTATGCATGATCTCTTGGTTAAATGTTGCATGTGAATGCTCAAATGTTAACTTGAACCTTAAATAAATGGAGTGTCTAGACAAGTGCAATTAAGTAAACCAAACTTGTTAGACTGTTCAGTAGAATGAAATGAACTAAAATGAAAAATTGAGTAGGTGACTTGTGCTAAAGATGAACATTTATGCAATATTTGACTTTTAATGCAAAAATTTTGTATGATGTGTTGACCTATGTTATGAAGCATGCTACATATGTATTTTGAAATATATGAAGTGGTTTGATAGTATCCAAGCATGATTCTAACTAATAGTAACTTCTATGTGGATATTTGGCAAGTGAAAAATGCATGTTCTTGAGGATTCTGCACTTTTCTAGTAGAAGGATCCATCCCTTAAGGGACGGGATCGATCCCTTTTCAAAATGGATCGATCATTTGGCGTGAAGGATCGATCCCAAACTTACTGTCCAGCATAGGATCGACCCCCCGTGAAAAAAAATCGATCCCTCTAAAAATGATCAATCCCTTTTCAAAAAAGATCAATCCCTTTTCAAAAAATATCAATCCCTTCGTTGTTGAGCCCGATGGAAAAAGGTGGAATTGCATTCATTAAAGGTATAAAGTGTTCCTTAGTCTCAATATGTTTCCTAAATGTTGCGTGAGTTCAAAAAGGTCTAGAAATTGTATTGTTAATTAATTATAGATTGTAATTCAAAATTTGTTGGGACTTGTTTTATCAATCTTTAAATATATTTAATTTCATATTGGGAACTTCAATTACATTATTGCTAACTGTGTACAACTCTTGAAATGTTTACGTTTTAGTCCCTAGACTCGCATGTTAAATTAAGTACTCGTTTGTGTTCCGAATGAACTAAAAATTTGCATGTTGTTAATTGAGGATCGATAATAAGGAATGATACTCTCAAATTGACTAATTGACCTTGAATTCTTCGTAAGTTAAAATAACTATTTTACCCTTGATTGTCTGTTACGATATTTATGCTCCATTATGTTTGATGAATGGTTACACGTTATCGAATATGTTTTGTTTCCATGTGTCATATGTTGTGTTGATTTTAATTTGTATGCTTCCGTACAGTTCGCATGATTTAGCATTTTGTTTGATTAGAATCGAATGTACGCTCAAGTATCCAAGTCTGTCTCCCAAACCATGTATGAGGTATTACAGTTGTAATTGATGGGAAACGTTAATAAAAGCTTATAAGTGAGAACATCAACAATTGTGTGATAATATAAGATCATTATAAGGAAATATTCCATAAGACTTTTGTCTTCTTTGATACTTGGGAAACATTGAGGACATTCAAGTTACTCTAAAGTACAAGAATCACCTTATAGATATGATTATGAGGTATCAGGATATACCCTCATTAGTTTCTGAGCACTTAGTTTTAGTGCGAGTGCACTTCTGTATTAGTGCTAAGGCACTTCTATTATTCAACTACAATGCCATTATACTTGAATTCCATTTGTGATTGATATTTGATATGATCGATGCTAGATGTATTTTGTTGCTTCATGATTTTATTGGCTAACATACGCATTTATGGATGCATGTAGTATATAAAAGTTATCAGTGTGGCACTGAATTCGTAGTTTAGTTTTGAGAATGTGTTTCCGTTAAAGGCTTAACGATCATTAATCTTCAGTGATCATATTTTAATTAAAACGAAACGAAAGTGACCAAATCTTATGTTTTATGAATTCAGTGAGGAAAAGTATATAAAACTCAAATGAAAGTGACCACTTGTATAGTTTACCCTTACTTCTAACATCCAATAATTATTAAAATTTTAGTTCACATTATCTTGATGTAAAATAAATAATAAATAAAAAGCTTTTGATATAATAAATATAGTCATTACTGTCAGATAATTATTAAAAGGGTAAAGTAAACACACGGTCCTTGATTATACAAAATTGTTTTATTAAGTCCCTCAATTATTAAAAGTTACAAAATACTCATCCGATTAAAGAGTGTTGTTTTGTTGAGTCCATTGACTATTAAAAGTTACAAAATGATCACCTGACTATTCATTATGTTCTAAACTAGTCATTTTTCATTAAAATTGACAGTAGTATAAGATGAACGTTAATATTCTGATTGTGATATGATAAAATATTATCCTAGAATCTCAAATGACTATCATATCTCAGTCACTATGTAACATCCAGTTCAGATGACCGCCAATTTCTTAACAGAAAATGACGAGTTTGGAACATAATTAATAGTCGAGTGACTATTTTATAACTTTTAATAGTCGACAGACTAAATAAAGTAACACTCTATAGTCAAACAACCAATTTTATTTTGGTTTAAAAATAAATTCATTCATAAATGAATTCATATCAATACTAAGCGCGATCACGGACTCCTTATCAAAGAAAAGAATACATAGAAAAAAGAAACATAAAAAAATAAAAGAGAAAAACATGAGAAATAACTAAAATATAGAATAGATAAGGCCTAATATAAAAGTGTGTGGGCAAACTATACTGTTTTTTTAGTG